ACACACACACACACACACACACACACACACACACACTGAAAGGCTGAGGGATTGTTCCAAAGAAATGACAATGAAATTTCATTTCTAGACTGCAGGAGAAATTGTTATAAAGGATAGTCATTAGGACAATCAGTAAAATCTGAATACGGACTGTGTACCAAATCATAATACACATCAATGTTAAAATAAACTTCCTGGGGCGCCTGGGTAGCTCAGTCGGCTAAGTGTCCAACTTCAGCTCAGGTCATGATCTCAGAGTTCGTGAGTTTAGGCCCCACATTGGGCTCTCTGCTGTCAGCATAGAACTCACTTCAGCTCCTGTCTCTCTCTCTCTGTCCCTCTCCGGCTCACACACTCTCTCTGTCTCAAAAATAAATAAACATTGAAAAAAATAAACTTCCTGATAACTACACTATGTTATGTAAAAGACTATCCTTGTTTTAAGGAGATAAATGCTGAAGTACCTTGGGGTAAAAGGGCCATGATCTCTGCAAATTACCCTCAGCAGCAGCAATAGCGACATAGAAAGGAGGTGAAAGAAGGGAGGGAGGGAGGAGGGAACAAAGGAAGGGGATGGAGGAGAAGAAAGGGAAGGAGTGGGGGAGGAGAAAGAAGAAGAAAATTGTGTACACTATGTTATATATAAAAAAAGGTAAAGCAAATATGGCAAAATGTTATCAATGTATGCAACTAGATGGGGTATAAAGGAGTTAATTTTAATATTCTTGCAACTTTTCTATAGGCTTTACACTTTTCAAATAAAAAGTTTAATTTTTAAAATGTTCTGTAGCAATTTTCCACATAGATAGGCTCTCATATAAGATTGTCTTTCAGATTCTCTAGAAACATATTCCTTCTCCTTCCTAATTCTTTGATTTAGTATACATGATACAAATATTCCAAGAAGTATATGTTCTCGTAATCTAAACATCTTGCAAGGAAGTAAGATCATAACAGCAACAATCATAATAATGACTATCTTTTTTTGAATATTTACTATGTGCCAAGCACTGTGCTAGGCACTTAATACACATTATTCTCATTTAACCCATACAACCTGAGATGCAGGTATTATTATCCCCAACTTACAAATGAGAAAACTAAAGATCAGGGAAGTTAAGCAACATAACCAACAGATCACACAGCTGGCCAATGGGAGAGCCAGGATTTAAATCCAGGCTTGCCTAATTCCCAAGTCTTCACCACTATATTGGGCTGTCTCCCAGAATCCAAGGTTTTTCCTTCCTTCCTCCCTTCCTCCCTTCCTTCCTTCCTTCCTTCCTTCCTTCCTTCCTTCCTTCCTTCCTTCCTTCCTTCCTTCCTTCCTTCCTCATTCATTTATTATGTTTGTTTTTGGGAGAGAGAGAGAGAGTGAGCAGGGGAGGGGAAGAGAGAGAGGAAGACAGAGAATCCAAAGCAGGCTCCGCACTGAGAGCAGACATCGGATGCCGGACCCAAACTCATGTCAGATCATGATCTGAGCTGAAGTCCAATGCTTAACCAACTGAGCCACCCAGGTGCCCCAGAAATCCAAGACTTTTAAAAAGAAGCTGTCTCATCATCAATACTGTTGCTTCCTTCTATCAAGAACATTCTCCTTACGGCATGGGT